TTTAAAGGATCAGTGTGTAGGATTCAGTGGCATCTAGGGTAAGTTTCAGACTGCAACTAACTGAACACCGCTCGCGTCTATATTTGACGACCTGGGAATGAGAATGGGCTGAGACGTAGGGCAGCACAGTATGGGAAAAAACATTATATTGCGATTGCAATATGATTCAGGATTAGTGGGAATAATCATTTTTGCATCACTGAAAAACCTCGAAAAAACTCGTGATGATGTGAAATGTTGTGGGGTCAGCAGCAAACAAACATGTTTTCTTAAGTCTGGAGAACGAGATTTGTTGTCCAGTGCATCTCTGCAGCACTAAAGCACTTCATTATAAAACTGTTCAGTCACACATTTTTACATTTATCAAACAATTGCAGCTTCTACGATTTTGACATATTGCAATTTCGATAATATTGCGATTAATCGTGCAGCCCCACTGGGAAATGTGTAGGAGAAGCTATGGAAGCTGGGAAACACGCCAGCGCTTGGATTGTCCATTCTGGGCTACTGTAGAAACATGGTGGTTCAACAAGGCGGACTCCATGGAAACCGACCCATCAACGAGAACACGATGATTCCTTTATACAGGTGATACACTAATGAAAACATACCCATGAATATTACATTCAACTCCCATTTGTTACACACTGGACCTTTAAAGCAGCAAAAAACACTCACGTCTTCATAATCATATATCTGAGGGAGTTGCCCAGTGTATGGTCTTCATCATGCAGCACAAATGTCACACAGCCCTCATCAGCCCCATCAGCCTGGACCTAAAACACACCAGAAATACTTGATAAAACATCAAACAACAACTCTAAACAGAAACATTACCCAACGCCCTCCTTGGAGATTAGTGAGTGGGAGAATCAGTGGGAACTATTACGCATTGCCAATACATCCAATACTTATTATCTCACAGATGCACATTGGCAAGGATCAGCTTAACATATTGAACAACATAGTGAGAAACTGGGGGAAACACTCGGGTCTGTTCACATACTGCCACCCAGTGGAGAAAACTCAGAGCTATGGATTGAGAAAGAGACAAATGTAAAGCAGCTAAAGTGATTTTCCTTTCAGGCAAACTTGGCTTTAAATAATACCACTCTTTATACGAGTCCACAGCTAAGGTTGCAATAAAGAAATCAGCCTTTAATGTAGTTTTTAGGTTTGGGTTGTGTAGGCTGCCCACGTGAGGAGTTTACAGGCGGAAGAAATGCTTTCATTAGCTCATTTAGCTTAATGTTTTCTTACAAACAGTAAGTCTAACAATGGAAGAAGCCCTTCAGCTGTATACACTATCAGAAAGCATGAGGCATATTCGCTTCTTACCATCTCCAGCACTGGTTTCTTCTCTCCTTCCCCGGCCATGACTCTGTCAGTCAACATGGAGGCGTGGAGGTTCAGCCCTCGCCACTGTCTGGCAGGTAAGAGATAGAAAAAGCGTGATTAGCCACAAAAAAAGGCGTTTGTTTTGTCTATATTGTGCAAAACATTAAACAGTAACACCTTCTGTGTTTGGCTGTGTGGTTATACTGCAGTAAATACTGATGTAAGATTCATAAATATAATAATAAAATATTTTAGGCGAGATATTGATGCGTTTATTTGGTTTTTTTTGTCTTATTTCACGCTGCTATGGACCTATACATGTAGTGTAAAGTGATAGTGACATAATGTACTGACCTGTTTTCATTAAGCACTAAATAAGTAGATTAAAAGTGAGAGTTGTCCATTGCCACGGCGCCTAAAATGCCTGTAAGACCTCGACAAGGGCTAAAATAACCACACGACAAACGTGACGGTAGGGAAGAAAACATGTGACGACACACGCCATAACAGGAAGTTGTAGGAAATGTAGTTCATAACACGAATCAGTACAATTGAATATGAAGGGAACGGAATGTGGTGAGAACTACATTTCCCAGCGGGGGGCGGGTGTTGTGTGAATTCGCTATATTATTTTTTTTTTTTCGCGAACCAGAAGTCACTCGAAAGGGATTAGCTAGCTTGCTAGCAGAGGAAATCTCTTTAGATGTTTGAATTTGCGCCAAATGAGCAACTCTGAACCGCGCTGACACCCCGAGGTATCGCTCTGCTTATCATTTGTTACTGTTAACTGTGTTAGCTCCGTGGCTAGAGACGAGAATTGCTACTGCGACGACATACCCACCGCCTCTTGTGTTATGATAACCAGCCTGTTGTTGTTCCAGTTATTGTTATCTGGATATATTATATTATTATATTATTAGTGAGCTCAGTCATCATCTGTAACTATTTCACCACGACCTTTATCTGTTAGGCAATCCCCCTCTTTTCCACCCCTCCTGTCTGCTCGCCTCTCTACCTCCTCCACTCACTGTCTCTTCCTCTTGTTTCTTGTTTCTTGTGTTGACAGATAGTACACAAAAAGCTTTTTCCCATGGCAATCCTGTTTGCTGTGGTGGCTCGTGGAACCACCATCCTGGCAAAGCACGCGTGGTGTGGTGGCAACTTCCTCGAAGTCACTGAGCAGATTTTAGCCAAAATCCCGTCGGAGAACAACAAACTGACCTACAGCCATGGCAGGTAGGACTCCCACACACGCCCTTACGCCTCTGTGACACTCACACGTTGTTGTTGAGTTCGTGTCCTGCTGTGTAGAAGTGGTGTAAGTGTGTAGTGTTACAG